TCTGCACTGGTACCCCCCTGTATATAGCCTCCCTACTGTTATTTTATTTTACTTGTGCTCTTTTTTTCTCAACACTTTTTGTTGTTGTTGTTTTATTTTACTTTTTTATTAAGATATAAATGCATTGTTGGTTAAGGGCTGTAAGTAAGCATTTCATGGTAATGTCTACACCTGTTGTATTTGGCGCATGTGGCAAATCAAATTTGATTTGATTTGATTTGATTACTCATTGACTCAGGAGTGAATGAGAGTTTTATGGACGCTACTCTGGCGTCCGAGCTGAACATCCCCACTCTCCATTCCCATGGACGTTAGAGCGCTAGATGGGCACACTATAGCCAGGGTCACCCACAATACCACTCCCATCAACCTACGAGTGTCAGGGGACCACAGCGAGACTATCCAATTCCTACTTATTAAGTCCCCTCAGGTTCCCTTGGTATTGGGATTGTCTTGGCTCCAGCAACACAATCCCCGCATCAAATGGACTGCTGGTGCCATCATGGGCTGGAGCCCGTTCTGCCACGCCCATTGCCTGAAGTCGGCACAGCCTGCCCTGGGACGCCTTCCTGTGGGCTCGGAAGTTGCCCTGGACCTCTCCGCCATTCCCAAAGAGTACCAGGACCTCCGGGAGGTTTTTAGTAAGGCCCGGGCCACTTCACTTCCTCCGCACCGACCCTATGACTGCGGGATCAACCTTCTCCCGTGCACCACACCACCCGGGGATGACTGTATTCACTGTCGGGTCTGGAGACCAAGGCTATGGAGACCTAAATTGAGTACTCCCCGGCTGCAGGGTGTATCCGGCCTTTTGCCTCCCCCGCCGGCGCAGGGTTCTTCTTTGTGGAGAAGAAGGACAAAACCCTGCGCCCGTGCATCGACTACCGGGGCCTCAATGACATCACGGTTAAGAACCGCTACCTGCTACCACTCATCGCCTCGGCCACGAGATGCTCCATGGGGCCACCGTTTCCTCCAAGTTGGACCTGCGGAACACCTACCACCTGATGCGGATACAGGATGGGGACGAGTGAAAGACTGCCTTCAACACGGCCAGCGGTCACTACGAATATCTAGCCATGCCATATGGCAGGGTTCTTCAATTCCGGTCCTGGAGGGCCAAAACACTTCTGTTTTTTATTTCTACCTGGTAGTTAATTGCACTCACCTGGTGTCCCAGGTCTGAATTAGCCCCTGATTAGAAGGAGAGGATGAAAAACAGAGGTGTTTCGGCCCTCCAGGACCGGAATTGAAGAACCCTGCCATATGGTCTTACCAACGCTCCAGCTGTGTTCCAGGCCCTGGTTAATGACGTTCTGCGCGCCATGTTGAACCGGTTTGTCTTCGTCTACCTCGACGACATCCTCGTTTTCTCCCGCTCAGCCGAAGAACACGTGCTCCACGTCCGACAGGTCCCTCCATCGCCTCCTGGAGAACCAGCTTTTTGTGAAAGCGGAAAAATACGAATTCCATCGCTCCACCATCCCCTTCCTTGGTTACATCATCACTGCGGGGAATGTACAGATGAATCCCGGAAAGGTGAGAGCGGTGGTGGATTGGCCCCAACCTACATCCAGAGTGCAGATGCAACACTTCCTGGGATTTTCCCATTTTTATCGGCACTTTATCCGGGGTTACAGCACCCTGGCTTCTTCCCTGTCTGCACTCACCTCTCCCAAGGTTCCGTTTACGTGGTCCCCAGCTGCAGACCGGGCATTCCAGGACCTCAAACACCGCTTCACCACAGCTCCCATATTAGTTCATCCTGACCCGTCCCGTCAGTTCGTGGTGGAGGCCGACGCGTCGGATGTCAGAATAGGGGCGGTCCTGTCCCAGCGTTCTGCCATGGACCTCAAGCTGCATCCCTGCGCCTTCTTCTCCCATCATCTTAACGCCACTGAGAGGAATTACGATGTGGGGAATCGTGAGCTTCTTGCGGTGAAGATGGTGTTGGAGGAGTGGAGGCACTGGTGGGAGGGGGCGGAACATCCTTTCATTGTGTGGATGGATCATAAGAACCTGGAATATCTCCGCACCGCCAAGTGTCTCAATTCCAGGTAAGCTAGGTGGGCCCTGCTTTTCACCCGGTTTAACTTCTCCCTCTCCTACCGCCCGGGTTCCAATAATATCAAGCCGGATGCGGTCTCACACCACTATAGCCCCGCGGTTACCCCATCGGACCCCGAGACCATCCTCTCAACTCGTGTCTGGCGGTGGCTCTCAGCTGGGGAATTGAGAAGCAGGTCCGTGAGGCGCAGCATTCCCAGCCGAACCCCGGGGGCCCAGATAACCGGCTGTTTGTTCCTGACACTGTCCGTTCCACAGACCTGGAGTGGGCCTCACGGCTTACCTGCCACCCAGGTTTCCGTCGGACCCTGACCTTTGTGTGACAACGCTTTTGGTGTGGCCTACCATGGTCCCTGAAGTCTCCGCGTTCGTCGCCCCCTGCACGATCTGTGCACAGAATAAGACTCCTCAGCAAGCACCGGCTGGTCTCCTTCAACCCCTTCCTGTCTCTCAGCGTCCCTGGTCACACATATCCCTGGACTTCGTCACTGGTCTCCCCCTGTCTGATGGCAACACCGTCATCCTTACTGTGGTGGACCGGTTTTCCAAAGCCACCCATTTCATTCCTCTCCCCAAACTACCCTCTGCCAGGGCCCAGCTCATGGTGCAACATGTCTTCCGGATCCATGGACTCCCGGTGGACATGGGGTCCGACCGGGGTCCTCAGTTCTTGTCCCGGTTCTGGAAGACGTTCTGCACGCTCATTGGGTCGTCGGCCAGCCTGTCCTCCGGGTTCCACCCACAGTCTAATGGCCAGTCGGAGCGAGACAATCAGGACATGGAGACGACTCTTTGCTGCCAACTCCACCACCTGGAGCCAGCAACTCGCCTCACAGGTCCTCAACTGGCAGCTTCATTAAATAGTACCCGCAAAACACCAGTCTCAACATCAACAGTGAAGAGGCGACTCCGGGATGCTGACCTTCTAGGCAGAGTTGCAAAGAAAAAGCCTGTTTCTCAAACTAGACACTCTAATGTATTTGTCCTCTTGCTCAGTTGTGCACCAGGGCCTCCCACTCCTCTTTCTATTCTGGTTAGAGCCAGTTTGCGCTGTTCTATGAAGGAAGTAGTACACAGCGTTGTACGAGATCTTCAGTTTTTTGGCAATTTCTCGCATGGAATAGCCTTAATTTCTCAGAACAAGAATAGACTGACGAGTTTCAGAAGAAAGTTATTTGTTTCTGGCCATTTTGAGCCTGTAATCGAACCCACAATTGCTGATGCTCCAGATACTCAACTAGTCTCAAGAAGGCCAGTTTTATTGCTTCTTTAATCAGCACAACAGTTTTCAGCTGTGCTAACATAATTGCAAAAGGGTTTTCTAATGATCAATTAGCCTTTTAAAATGATAAACTTGGATTAGCAAACACAACGTGCCATTGGAACACAGGACTGATGGTTGCTGATAATGGGCCTCTGTACGCCAATGTAGATATTCCATTAAAAATCAGCCGTTTCCAGCTACAATAGCCATTTACAACATTAACATTGTCTACACTGTATTTCTGATCAATTTGATGTTATTTTAATGGACAAAAAAATTGCTTTTCTTTCGAAAACAAGGACATTTCTAAGTGACCCCAAACTTTTGAACGGTAGTGTAATATATATATATATATATATACACTCCGGACCCGACATTGCTCATCCTAATATTTATATATTTCTTAAATCCATTGTTTTACTTTTAGATTTGTGTGTATTGTTGTGAATTGTTAGATATTACTGCACTGTTGGAGGTAGGAACACAAGCATTTCGCTACACCCACAATAACATCTGCTAAATATGTGTATAGGACAGTGACGCTGCTGTATGCATCAAAACAGTGTCCTCTCTCTCCTCTCTACCCATGAGCTAGTCATCCTGCATGCTCTCTCTTTAGATAGCTCACCTACATACAACCACTCCACCTTACTCCAATATGCGCACACACACACACACACACACACACACACACACACACACACACACACACACACACACACACACACACACACACACACACACACACACACACACACACACACACACACACCAGCCCTTCCCACCCTTGTGTTAATGTAAACCTCATCCCCCTCAATGGTTCTATTCCTTCAAGAGCCCCCCTTTATCCTCTTCATCCCCCACTCCCGTCCTCCTCTCAGCGACCTCTCTTTATCTCCTTACCCCCTGCCTTGATTTACAACGTGACGCCGCCTGCAATCATTCTCTCTCATCCTCCTCTCCTTCCCTTGCTCTGCGGCCTCCTGACGGTCTCTCATCATGGATTACAGACTCACACAGACCATTACCCAGAATGCCTGCGGTGGAGAGGGGTGTGTGTGTGCGGTGGGGGATGAAACGTACATTTTACAGGAAACAAATCTTAAGCCCCTCCCATAACGTCCATCTCTCTCGCTCTTTTTACTACATCCCCCATTTTTATCTCTTTACCACTTCTTTCCCCATTTTGTCATATAGTTGCAGAACAAGCTGTGTTACTTTCTGTACTGTTGTATCTTTACAGTAACTCCTGCTGTTCTGTGATGATTAAATTATCTTATAATGATTATTGTTTGGAGGCTAATGGCACACACACACACACACTGTTGTGTGGAGTCTAATGGCACATACTGCAACTCTCTGCAGCTGGAGATCTCTAACTAACCTGCAGACAGTTCGGCCATTTTAACCTCCGCTGCAGTCTGCAGTACAAAGACTTAACACTCTACTGCTTTTACTGCAGTGCTCAGCATTATGCAATACAGCCGTGTCTCTGTCCCTCTACCCCACCCTGCCCCAACCCAAACCCAAACCCAAACCCACACTACCCTGCCCCAACCCCACACCCCAACCCAAATGGATCTGATCCTTATTCACTGTCACCTATAGGACAGAGCCGGAGCTACAACACAGAAGGCAGGGGGGGGGGAGTGTATTATATCCTCTCACTCTATAGCAGACTGGACTATTAAATCACACCCATCATAACATTAGCACAAATATGTGGAGAAGGGGGAAGAGAGGGATGAAGATGCAGTGGAAGAATGGAGGAAGAGGAGAAAAGGAGGAGTGTGTGTGAAAGTTGTGAGGGACCTAAGTGGGACACTAATATAACTAAAAGTGAATACAAGAATAACTCCAAGAAGGCAACAACTCCACACACAGCACTGATACATGCCATGCTCAAATCTTTAAGTATTGATCATGTGAACTAATAAACATTATTACCTCTTACTTCTAAGTTACAAACTCTACTACAGCCCCCTCCCCCCTAGCCTGGGTACCAATGTGTTGAGCTAACGTACAGAGGTAGCCCAGTCCAGTATAGTATACAGTACCTTCAGAAAGTATTCACACCCCTTGACTTTTTCCACAATTCCACATTTTGTTGTGTTACAGCCTGATTTTTAAATGGATTAAATGGATTACATTTTTGTCACTGGCCTACACTCAATGTCAAAGTGGAATGATGTTATTATAAATGTTTACAAATTAATTAAAAATGAAAAGCTGAAATGTTTTGAGTCAATAAATATTCAACCCCTTTTTATGGCAAGCCTAAATAAGTTCAGGAGTAAAATGTTGCTTAACAAGTCACATAATAAGTTGCATGGACTCACTCTGTCTGCAATGATCATTTTTAATATGATTTTTGAATGACTACCTCATCTCTGTACCCCACACATACAATTATCTGTAAGGTCCCTCAGTCGAGCAGTGAAATTCAAACACAGATTCAACCACAAAGACAAGGGACATTTTCCAATGCCTCACAAAGGGTACCCTATTGGTAGATGGGTAAAAATAAAAAAAGCAGACATTGAATATCCCTTTGAGCATGGTGAAGTTATTAATTACAATTTGGATGGTGTCTCAATACACCCAGTCACTACAAAGATACAGGTATCCTTCCTAACTCAATTGCCGGAGAGGAAGGAAACCACTCAGGGATTTCACCATGAGGCCAATGGTGACTATAAAACAGTTACAGAGTTGAATGGCTGTGATAGGAGAAAACTGAGGATGGATCAACAACATTGTAGTTACTTGACAATACTAACTTAAATAACAGAGTAAAAAGAATGAAGCCTGTGCAGAATAAAAATATTCCAAAACATGCATCCTGTTTGCAATAAGGCACTAAAGTAAAACTGCAAAAAATGTGGCAAATAAATTAACTTTATGTCCTGAATACAAAGCGATACCACTCTTCATATTTTCAAGCATGGTGGTGGCTGCATCATGTTATGGGTATGCTTGTCATCGGCAAGGTCTAGGGAGTTTTTAATATATAAAAAGAAACAGAACAGAGGCAAAATCCTAGAGGAAAACCTGGTTCAGTCTGCTTTCCAACAAACACTGGGAGACAAATTCACCTTTCAGCAGGACAATAATCTAAAACACCAGGCCAAATATGCATTGGAGTTACTTACCAAGACGACACTGAATGTTCCGGCGTGGCCTTGTTATAGTTTTGACTTAAAATCGGTTAGAAAATCTATGGCAAGAAACTGGCTGTCTAGCAATGATCAACAACCAACTTGACAGAGCTTGAAGAATTTTAAAAAGAATAATGTGCAAATCTTGTACAATCCAGGTGTGCAAAGCTCTTAGAGACTTACCCAGAAAAACTGTGGGTGTGAATACTTATGTAAATTAGATATTTTTGTACAGTGAGGGAAAAAAGTATTTGATCCCCTGCTGATTTTGTACGTTTGCCTACTGACACTTTGAACAGTGAGAGACAGAATAACAAACAAAAAAATCCAGAAAAATGCATGTCAAATATTTTATAAATTGATTTGCTTTTTAATGAGGGAAATAAGGATTTGACCCCTCTGCAAAACATGACTTAGTACTTGGTGGCAAAACCCTTGTTGGCAATCACAGAGGTCAGATGTTTCTTGTAGTTGGCCACCATGTTTGCACACATCTAAGGAGGGATTTTGTCCCACTCCTCTTTGCAGATCTTCTCAAAGTCATTAAGGTTTCGAGGCTGACGTTTGGCAACTCGAACTTCAGCTCCCTCCACAGATTTTCTATGGGATTAAGGTCTGGAGACTGGCTAGGCCACTCCAGGACCTTAATGTGCTTCTTCTTGAGCCACTCCTTTGTTGCCTTGGCCGTGTGTTTTGGGTCATTGTCATGCTGGAATACCCATCCACGACCCATTTTCAATGCCCTGGCTGAGGGAAGGAGGTTCTCACCCAAGATTTGACAGTACATGGCCCCGTCCATCGTCCCTTTGATGCGGTGAAGTTGTCCTGTCCCCTTAGCAGTAAAAACACCCCCAAAGCATAATGTTTCCACCTCCATGTTTGACGGTGGGGATGGTGTTCTTGGGGTCATAGGCAGCATTCCTCCTCCTCCAAACACGGCGAGTTGAGTTGATGCCAAAGAGCTCGATTTTGGTCTCATCTGACCACAACACTTTCACCCAGTTCTCCTCTGAATCATTCAGATGTTCATTGGCAAACTTCAGACGGCCCTGTATATGTGCTTTCTTGAGCAGGGGGACCTTGCAGGCACTGCAGGATTTCAGTCCTTCACGGCGTAGTGTGTTACCAATTGTTTTCTTGGTGACTATGGTCCCAGCTGCCTTGAGCTCATTGACAAAATCCTCCCATGTAGTTCTGGGCTGATTCCTCACCGTTCTCATGATCATTGCAACTCCACGAGGTGAGATCTTGCATGGAGCCCCAGGCCGAGGGAGATTGAGAGGTCTTTTGTGTTTCTTCCATTTGCGAATAATCGGACCAACTGTTGTCACCTTCTCACCAAGCTGCTTGGCGATGGTCTTGTATCCCATTGCAGCCTTGTGTAGGTCTACAATCTTGTCCCTGACATCCTTGGAGAGCTCTTTGGTCTTGGCAATGGTGGAGAGTTTGGAATCTGATTGATTGATTGCTTCTGTGGACAGGTGTCTTTTATACAGGTAACAAACTGAGATTTGGAGCACTCCCTTTAAGAGTGTGCTCCTAATCTCAGCTCGTTACCTGTATAAAAGACACCTGGGAGCCAGAAATCTTTCTGATTGAGAGGGGGTCAAATACTTATTTCCCTCATTAAAATGCAAATCAATTTATAACATTTTTGACATGCGTTTTTCTGGATTTTTTTGTTGTTATTCTGTCTTTCACTGTTCAAATAAACCTACCATTAAAATTATAGACTGATAATTTATTTGTCAGTGGGCAAACGTACAAAATCAGCAGGGGATCAAATACCTTTTTCCCTCACTGTATTTCATTGTCAATACATTTGCAAACTTTTCTGTTTTCACTTCGTCATTATGGGGTATTGTGTGTAGGCCAGTGACAAAAACATCTCAATTTAATCCATTTTAAATTCACGCTGTAACACAACAAAATGTGGAAAAAGTCATGGGTTTTGAATACTTTCGGAAGGCACTATATCTATCTACCTCTACCTCTCTAATCCAAGCTGTAAAAACCCTGTTGGCCAATGGGAAATCGATATGGCGCAACAGAAGCGTGGTATTGGTTTACTACTACACTCCTTCTCTCTAAGTCCCTCTCTCTCTCTCCCCCTCTCTCTCTGTCTCTCTCTCCATCTCTCTCTCTCTCCCCCTACTCCACTCTCTCTAGAACTTGTTTTACCTGACAGCCCTAACCAGGCCCCTCCACTGACAGCCGGGCATTATCCCTCTCCTTTTTATTAAACCACTATTACATATCACATATATCTGGATATCTCATTTGCTCACAAAGACAGGCCATTGTGTGAGGCAGAGCTAAGTGAATCAGTGGACGTCTGGTTAGAATGGCTATAATGAGGGCTTATTGAGCCTGCGGATGAGGGAGTGTCTGTGTGTGTGAAGGGTTTGGTTTATACAGTGTGGCTCTTTGGAGCTGCTGGGATGATAGATGACACCGTCTCACTGTGGCCTGTTCCTCTAATAAGGCCATTAACACACACACACACACACACACACACACAGGAATGGGTTTATCCTGATAAGGAATAATTAGTGGTGGAAGTGCTAGAGAAAGGAGTGTGTGAGGATAGAGTGTCTGAGTGTGAGAGTACGGTTGCCTGCATATATGTGTGTTTGTGTTTGACACTGGTGTGTGTGTGTTTGTACTCACACTCCTCTTTAGGTCGAGATATGTAAAACATGGTGTGTGGTACTCACGCTCCTCTTTAGGTTGAGATATGTAAAACATGGTGTGTGGTACTCACGCTCCTCCTCTTTAGGATCTAGCTGAGTGACGCTGATAGAGAGGCGGTCCACGCGCTCCTGGAGGGAGTTGACCCGGAAGGAGAAGGAGTGGGCCTCGTTGAACAGCTCCCCAAACAGATCCTCTGCGTACTTACCTGTAGAACACACACACACAGAGAACATACACTTAATACACACACTTAAGTATAATGCAGTAATACAGTCAAGCATAATAAAAGAAGAAACGTGCTTACCTAACAGAAAAATGTGGGTACGAAGTGTGTTGTTTAGGTGTGAGTGTGAACAGTGTGTGTGAGCATGCGTGTGCAACAACGTGTTTTCGGCGTGTCCGTGTGTGTGTATTATTAAGGTGTGTATGTGTGCAGACATTGTGTGTGACTCACTGAGGCTGCTGAGCTGTCGGATGACGTTAGCCAGGGACACATTGGTCACACACTCCAGCTCGTTCTTGATGGCCCGCGGCAGCACCGTGTGGCACAGGTGCCTGGGCTCGATAGTCCTCTTCACCAACGGCATCCTGGGATACCTCGACCACGGCTACCACACCTGGAGAAAGGAGGGAGGGAGAGTTAAGTTATTACATCCCTGGATACCTCTACCTTTACCACTACCACACCTAAAGCGGATAAAACTCAATAGTTGAGTTATATTAAGCCTTTAATAATGTACAATTATACAATTATTACTGTACAATTAGGCCTATTACTGTACAATTATGTTGCAATTATGTACTAATTACAGTACAGACTGCTACAAGGCTTCCAACACAGCATGAACTAGCCTACACACACAAATAATAGGCTCCATTTGTTCCAAACATCCACGAAAAGTAGTCCCCCTCTGTAGAGGTGTAGTGATCCATTCCTATGGCGGCAGGTAGTCTAGCAGTTAAGAGCGTTGGGCCAGTAACTGAAAGGTCGCTGGTTCAAATCCCAGAGCTGACTAGGTGAAACATCTGTCGATGTGCCCTTGAGCAAGGCACTTAACCATAATTGCTCCTGTAAGTAGCTCTGGATAAAAGTGTCAGCTAAATGACGAAAATGTAAATTATAGGACTCAAAAGTAGAGCATTACATGGAATAGACACAGTATGGCCAATGTTGCTAGCTACACATATAGTTCAGTGGAGGCTTCTGAGGGAAGGATGGCTCATAATAATGTCTGGAATGGAGTCAATGGAATGGTTTGATATAGTTATATGTCTGTCATATTGAGGTATCTAGCTATAAGTTCAACCTGATCAATCAAATGGATAGGTGTAAGCAATTATGGTAATTCAAAATGCCCTTAACTAGGTGTCTTCGCTAAACAGACACAGAGAGAGAGAGAGAGAGAGAGAGAGAGAGAGAGAGAGAGAGAGAGAGAGAGAGAGAGGGAGAGAGAGAGAGAGGTGGGAAGAGAGTGGAAGACAGACCGAGAGAGAAATGGAGAGAGAGAAACAGAGAAAGACAGCAGTGCAAATGTACTTAGACTTGAGTATTTCAACAACTCTTCTCTTCCAACTTGTTAGGCAATCATATGTACCTACGGGGCAAGGATGGACAGCCACACAGGAGGGAGATTTTTACTAAGGAGGAGAAGGAGGCCGTGCTGACCGAGATGCATGCTGGCCATTTCGGAGTGAAGCACATGATTGCCAAAATCAACCTACGCTTCTTCTGACGGGGAATTGTCAATGAGGTGGACAGCTGGGCAAGTGAAATAACCTTTTGTTTATCAATCGCATTCTATTATATCTGAAATTATTATGATTTCAATGAATGTCATTTCAGAGAGCACACAATGTTTCAGTGTGTCACTTTTTGCTTAAAAGCTCAGTACCCTGTCTAGCCTGCCAGAAGTTTGAGAGAGCGAAGACTGTGTCGTCGGAGTTGAAGCCCATCAAAGTTGTTTCACCATGGCACATGATCGGTAAGTGTCCCAATTCAAATTTTGCCCTGACAAGTTGTTTTGTAATGGTTGCTTTATTTGACCACAGCAGAGTTCAATATTATAGAATGTGTGTGTGTGTGTGTGTGTGTGTGTGTCAGTATCCTTACAAATATGAAAATCTGCATACTGTATAACACAGATACGGGTAAGAATAAAGTAATCTTCTCTCTAACACTTTAAATGTTAGGGGTGGACCTCATCGGACCCTTCACGAAATCCAGGAATGGCAACAGCTGGTGTCTGACGGCGACTGATCACTTTACCATGTGGGTGGAGGCAATACCCATTAAAGTCAGTAAAGGAAGAGAACGTGCTTAACTATAAATTCCCTTCTGTAACCCATTAAAAAGGGTACTTGGAACCAAACATTTATTTTAGTTTTTTATGATACCCATCAAGGACGAGACTGGCGAGGCCAACTCCAAGGTGATGATGGACATCTTCAACACCCACGGTTCTCCTGAGGTTATCTTGAGTGACCGAGGTCATGAATGCTGGAACAAGGTACGGATGTTATAGGTTATATTCTGTCACCAATGGTTTGTTTTAATTATTTTTTTACAATTTGTTTTTGTTTTTCCATGGTACATAATCAGACATATTTCAAAATCTTACATTGCCAATAGATATCGCTTTCCTACCCCCTCCTCCAGGTTTGGTGAATGGACCAACCAGACCCTCAAGACTGCCATGGGCAAGTCCCTTGGTTGGTACCAGGAAGGGTGGGAGAACAACCTGAAGGTAATTCTCTTTGCACACAACAGCAGCATCCAGGCCTCCACCGAGTACGGACCAGAGCCGCAGCTGTTGACTGAGGTAAACAATGCAATTGTACAGTCGTGGTTAAAAGTTTTGAGAATGACACAAATACTAATTTTCACAAAGTCTGCTGCCACAGTTTTGATGATGGCAATTTGCATATACTCCAGAATGTCATGAAGAGTGATCAGATTAATTGCAATTAATTGCAAAGTCCCTCTTTGCCATGAAAATGAACTTAATCCCCAAAAAACATTTCCACTGCATTTCAGCCCTGCCACAAAAGGACCAGCTGCCATCATGTCAGTGATTCTCTCGTTAACACAGGTGAGAGTGTTGAAGAGGACAAGGCTGGAGATCACTCTGTCATTCTGATTGAGTTAGAATAACAGACTGGAAGCTTTAAAAGGAGGGTGGTGCTTGAAATCATTGTCCTCTGTTAACCATGGTTACCTGCAAGGAAACACGTGCCGTCATAATTGCTTTGCACAAAAAAGGGCTTCACAGGCAAGGATATTGCTGCTAGTAAGATTGCACTTAAACCAACCATTTATCGTATCATCAAGAACTTCAAGGAGAGAGGTTCAATTGTTGTGAAGAAGGCGTCAGGGCGTCCAAGAAAGTCCAGCAAGCGCCAGGACCGTCTCCTAAAGTTGATTCAGCTGCGGGATCGGGGCACCACCAGTGCAGAGCTTGCTCAGGAATGGCAGCAGGCAGGTGTGAGTGCATCTGCACGCACAGTGAGGCGAATACTTTTGGAGGATGGCCTGGTGTCAAGAAGGGCAGCAAAGAAGCCATTTCTCTGCAGGAAAAACATCAGGGACAGACTGATATTCTGCAAAAGGTACAGGGATTGGACTGTTGAGGACTGGGGTAAAGTCATTTTCTCTGATGAATCCCCTTTCCGATTGTTTGGGGCATCCGGAAAACACATTGTCCGGAGAAGACAAGGTGAGCGCTACCATCAGTCCTGTGTCATGCCAACAGTAAAGCATCCTGAGACTATTCATGTGTGGGGTTGCTTCTCAGCCAAGGGAGTGGGCTCACTCACAATTTTGTCTAAGAACACAGCCATGAATAAAGAATGGTACCAACACATCCTCCGAGAGCAACTTCTCCCAACCATCCAAGAACAGTTTGGTGATGACCAATGCCTTTTCCAGCATGATGGAGCACCTTGCCATAAGGCAAAAGTGATAACGAAGTGGCTCGGGGAACAAAACATCGACATTTTGGGTCCATGGCCAGGAAACTCCCCAGACCTTAATCCCATTGAGAACTTGTGGTCGATCCTCAAGAGGCGGGTGGACAAACAAAAACCCACAAATTCTGACAAACTCTAAGCATTGATTATGCAAGAATGGGCTGCCATTAGTCAGGATGTGGCCCAGAAGTTAATTGGCAGCATGCCAGGGCGGATTGCAGAGGTCTTGAAAAAGAAGGGTCAACACTGCAAATATTGACTCTTTGCATAAACGTAATGTAATTGTCAATAAAAGCCTTTGACACTTATGAAATGCTTGTAATTATACTTCAGTATACCATAGTAACATCTGACAAAAATATCTCGTAACACTGAAGCAGCGAACTTTGTGAAGACCAATACTTTTGACCACGACTGTATATACAATTATTGCATATACTGTAGTGTTTCAAATTTGGGATTTACTTAGTGTTGTTGTTTGTCTATTGCTATTTTTGTATAACATACTTTCAGATCACTGAAACCACACTTGATGTAGTGGAAGTTCTCAAACCAGAACAGAACGCCTTCGAGGACCACCTTCAGGCACGGACTGAGAAGGATGTGGAGGTTTTTGACCAGCTAAAAATGTTTGTCCACTGTTCATTTATTTTCTGGCCCTCCAAGAGATATGTAAGAAATGTATTTGTAATATGAAATATAATTGCATTTATTCCTGTTATCAATCAAGGTGAGACTGAACATCGACAAGGCGCAGGAGAAACAGAAGGAGAGCTACCGGAGCAGAATCAAGAAGGGGACCAAGTGCTACGACATCCGGGCAAATTACTTGGTTTGGAAGAAGGACGAAAGGAAGGTGAGACCTGGGAAACCTCTCTGCTCTTTCGCTCCTAGCTGCGGTCACCATCTGTTAAGGTGAATATAAAACATCTCAGATAATAACTATTTGCACTTGCACACAAAATAACCTAAAGATAGTTTTAGTTTACCTAACACTGATATTTTTCTCTTTGTCTTCCTAGGGTTACCTCGGTGGAAGCCAACAATATTCTCCAGTTGGAGCAGTTGGACGGTCGACCACTGAAAGCACTGACGCCCTACACTTCTGTGAAGCCCAATAGACAAAGTATGTTAAGCTTTGGTTGAGATTTGAGAAAGCAAGAAATTGTAGTTATGCTGAGCTTATAAAAATGTACCTCTTCAATTTACGTCTCCAAATGACTTTAGGACCATCGACTGTCCGAACCCCTCCAGGAGGTATCCCATCCACCAGAGCCAGTGAGTTCGGATGAGTCTGATTCTCTGTGCTCTGAGTCAGAGGGGGACCAGCTTGAGGTAGGCTATACCTTCCAAAAGTGTTGAAAAGTACATATCTCCCATTTATAACACTGCACTAATCCATCACATGTTCTCACAGTAAAGTGTAACCTGTGTGTTTGCTTATTTACGTCTCTGTCTCCTACCCTGTTCCCTTTAAGTCTTCTCCTGTTCTCCAGGACCTAGGGGTTCTGCCCAACACCCAGACGTGGATCCACCTGATCTCCTCCATTACTAACCACTTTCCAACTTTTCATTAAATCATCTACAGCTACTGTTATTGTCATGTTGTCATTACAGTGCC